GGACTACTGGTCGCCGGTGGGTGGCCCGGTGGGTACCCCGCCCGACACGGCGCGTTAACGGCCACGTCAGATTTTCCAAGCAGGGCGAGGTACTGGTGGTTTAAGATCTTAAGATCGATACGGCTCGTCGATCAGGTAGGACACGACGGCCTGGATTTCAGATTTATTACATGTTTCCGACTATCCAAGCCGTGGGCCAGTAGGACCGAAGACGGCCTGGATCAGAGATTGGTTCCCTTAGCAATTTTAATAGTGTAGGGAAGTTTGGCGAGAAAGTGCAACCAGGCGCCTATGGAGAGTAGTGCAACAAGGCCCTCAGTGAGTTGCGCGAGCTGCACAAAAGACGGAAAAAAAAAAAAAGTGGTGTATCTTTCCATGTTCTAGAGAAGGATTGGTTCTGATTCTGGATTGACTTACCGTGAGGGCACGGGTGCGCAGCCCGTAGTTTGTTTGTTGATGTGCTAAGGTAGTGATTATGCTGTATGTATGTTTCATCATGTTCGGTATACACAACTCGAAGAGAGTGTGTGTGTGGGATCCCGGTTGGTGCTTTACTCGCGATGTTCATGGGACGCTGGACCCAGTTTCCAGCAGGTGTCGGCATGGCGCTCCCCATCAATAGACACGAGAATGTGTGTGTGTGTGTGTGTGTTTGTGAGAGTGTGTGTGTGTGCGTGTATGTGTGTGTGTGTGTGTGTGTGTGTGAGAGAGAGAGAGAGAAGAGAGAGTGTTTGCGCATGAATGTGTGCGTGTGCATGAGTGTGCAGTCGACGGGTGATATGGGTGAGCTGCGAAAAGATGGGACGGGCGGGCCAGTTTTTTGCTGGAAATTGTTAGATCGGTGTCGGGAAAGTCCCGTGCCAACGGTTGGGTAGTCGCGCCTTGGCGAGCGCGAAAAATAATTGTGTCATAGCTTCTTTCTTGTTTTGCTGTGGGCACTGGGAATTTTGGCGTGATCATCGCGCGGGAGTATCGTTTTTGAATTTTCAACTGATGCCGAGCCCCCACGGGCTCGCGGAATTGTTTTTCCCTTCTGCTTTTTCGAAATTTCTTTTTTTCAATTAGGACTTAGGCTAGGAATTTAGGTACTCTGAATTTTGTTGCGCCACGCTTGCGCGCATCTTGCCGCGCTGGGAACTGGATTCTGACTGAATCGCGCCCTTAATCTTGTGTAACTGTCGTTTTTGGCGGGCGCGATTGTAACTGTACCTTTCTTCTTTCCTGGTTTCCTCGTGTTTGCCCGCCTTCTCTTTCTTCCTCGCCGGACATACTCTGTTCTAACTGGCCGGAGCGCCTGCATGACCGGATCGATACGTGGAGAGTGGCTGTGACCCCCACGCCGCAGCCTGGCCATGCAGACAAAGGCACTTCCTCTCTTCTCCCCTTGTCCACCTGGGCTTAACCCCGTACCTTTCGCGCAGGCATGCACGCTATAAATTTTGCAAGCGCGATTAGTCTGCTCTCTAAGAATTTCGAGGTTAGCGCGATCAATGAGGGTCGGCTAACGAGCAATTTTGGAAGGTAAGTGAGTGCGAGAGTTGGGCGATCCGACGAGCTGGTGTCGGGTATGCGGGGTTGACGTGCAGGGCCGTGACGGACTGTGGCACACAGGCGAACCTGGCTTGCATCCTCGAACCGAGCGGGGTGACCACTTTGCGTGGATACGCGGCGACGGACTGCCGATATCAGGGGTGTAGAGCAGAGAGAGAGAGAGAGAGAGAGAGAGAGAGAGAGAGAGAGAGAGAGAGAGA